TGTTTTTTGCCCCCTGCTCGACCCCGTCTTTGGCCTTTGCTGTGCTTGATTTCAGATTCTTCAGGAACAGTGGCAGGTTGTATGGAAGAGGACCTAGGTACAGAAGCCCTTGAGACATGTAAAGAAAAATGAGGCTTCTTATCTTATTTTGACAAGGTCAAGTTTTCATTCAGTTGCTGCTGCACTTGAGTGAAAAGGATTTGGAGATCTGTGGGCCGCATCCCCAGCAGGTGGTCCAGGGATTCCTCCCCAATCATCTCTTGCCTATGAAGGTCAAAGGAGAAGAAAGACTATGTTGAATCAGGGACAGGAGAGAGAATAGGAAGCAAAGAATTGCTGCAGAACAGGCAGGAAGTTTGGTAAAGAGGCCAAGGGGGACACCTTAGGTACTGATAAATGATGACCAAGAAGAAGAAGAAAAAAATCTAAGAAGGTAAGATGGCAGTGATTGGAGGGATTTGTGTGGAAGCTGCAGGGGTTGCAGGAAAGGATGGAAAGTGAAACTTGAAGAAGATAAGGGACAGGCAGAGGATAACAAAGAAATGAAGATTGCCCAGTCAGGGGATCATCAAGTGTAGGAGACCAGATAATGAAGATCGAGGCCTAATTGACTTCTCTGTGAGCACAGAGGAGAAAAACAACAGGCTGTGCCTACTTTGCCAACAGGTAGGCACGCTGGCACATTGTAAGTCCTAGAAAAGAGTCTATACAACTGAGATCTGGTTGTTTACCTGGGTATATGCTATAAATAACAGGAGGCAGATGAATCTTCTGTTACCCTAATTGCTTGCTCCTGTGTCTGAGTGAATAAAGGTGAGGTGAGCCAAATACTCAGGGCTCCTGTCCACTAGAGGCAGAGAGTCCCTTGGTCTCCTCATTCCAGATTAACTCTGTGTCTTTTTGTCTTCTGTCCTTGTTTGTCCTCCAGAGTCAAACTCATAGGTTAGCCTCCTACAATTAAGGATAGTCTAGGAATCGATAAAAGCCATGAAGCCAGGTATGCACCTGTAATCCCAGCTGCATGGGAAGCTGAGGCAGAAGGATCACAAATTTGACTAATCTGGGTAACATAGCAAGACCTCATCAGTGTTAGTTACTTTTTTCTTGTTGCTGAGACAAAATACCCAGCACTCAAAGTTAAAGGGGAAAGGGTTTATTTAGCTCACAGTTTGTGGATATTTTAGTAATAATCAGCTGGCTCCAAGGCAAAGTGGCACATGGCATTGGAGTGTTGCAAAGGAGAAGCAGTTCATGATGCCCATCCAGTAGTAAAAGCAACAAGGAAGAAGACAAGCCTCTTTCTGTCCCTTATTCCCAGGCTACTGGGATTAGGGCAGTGCCAAAGCAATCAGTATACTGATTTAGTAATCACACATCCTTAATCCCAGCATCACACACATTACATACAGCCACAATGATTGCCTGAGGCTTTGGTGGGACATCTAGACCCAAACCATAATATCATCTCAAAAAGAAAAAAGAAAAAGGCTATGAAACAAGAAAGATTTGGGAGGCCTAATGAACAGTGATAAAAAAGATGGTGAAAAAAGAGAATGAAAAAATGCAGAAGAGGGAGAAAAAATTAGCAGGTGCTAGAGAACTGAAGAAAGCACAAACAAGTTACTTCATCTCCTGGAAAGTCTCTTGTCTCTGGATCAAGTTTAAGAGTAAGGTCCTACAGTGGATTCCAGTCTCAGGCATGATGCTGAGGGCCTTATTCCTCACTCTTTCGTCCTTATCCATTAACCCTTGGGCCACAGGCAAGGCAAAGAGATGAGTGACCATTCCTAGATGCTTCAGCCCTTCCCAGGCTAGCTCTCGGATCAGTGGGTTAGAATTGGTCGTATCATCCAGCAGACGATGGACTGTCTCAGAGCGCAGGGATGGCGACACCTGGTAAGAGGCAAAGATCTGCCCTAGTGCACCAATACGGCATTGGAACTTCAGTGGGGAAGCATGGATCATAATATTGAGGATTGTTTCTATTAGGTTACTAATAGCTATTTCACTCATTTTTCTTCCCAGCGAACTACGGTTTGCTGCGTCTATAAGGACACTGTAGGTTCCGTCCTTGGATTTTCTCATTGCTAGGAAGCTTTCATCCTCCCTTTCTTCGTATTCTTGTGCTTCACTTAAACTTCTTACCCTGCTGTGCCAGAAGAAGAAGGGTTGAGACGTTTCCCAGTTCAGTTCCCACTGGGATGCATGCAGGTTGCACTGAAGGTGTATTGGGCTGCCCTCTGGCCAAAGATGGGCACGAATTACTGAGTTGGGGATGTAGCAATCAGGGGCAAGGATCCATTCCCGCCCACGACCAAAGTAGCATCTTAATATCTGATAAGGGTTGAGTCCATCCAAGTAAGTCAGTTGTAACTGAGGAGGAGCCACGTAATGGTGATGGGGAGGTTTGCTCATCTGCATCCAGTCAGTTCCCACCCTCTCCTCACGTTTGGTGGAACTCAATAACAC